AATTTGGTATTGAGGTTAGGTGTGAATGGGAGTGGAGAGATAGCTGGCCTAGTATGATTGAAAATATGATAGAAAAGAAGAAGAAGATACAGCGTCAGGCTGAGAACAGGGCACTCGAATCAAATTTTTGCGGACACTACAAAGAACTGAGGGAAGAAGGAGTAAACATACATTACCTACTGGAAATGGAAAATTTTGGGGATATTCGATGGCTCTTTAAATTAAGATGTGGGGTTCTATATTTGAATGATCGACCTGGCAGAAATGATGAAAGAAGATTTTGCTCAATGTGTAACACGAAGGAAAGGGAAGATGTGATACATTTTTTGGGAAAATGTTCGGTGTTGAGACATATTAGGTTAAAGTGGTTGGGTAGACATGAACTTAGTAGAGTGGAAGTAGTTACTATGATGAGACAGGGCAAGGCTGAGTTAGCAGGTTATTGTAGGGAGGCATGGGTGTATAGGTATGAGTTAGTGAGCCTATTTAACTACTAAATCTATTAGCGTGGTGTTATATTAAAATTAGGATTAATAATTTGTTTGCTTATATTTATTGTCTTTTTATCTATCTGGTCTATCTTGACTAATATTGTTATTATTATTGTTACTATTATTATTGTTGTATCTGCAGCTTTCACTTCCTTAAAGGGATATTCAATCTTTTCAATTGTAATCTATACCTCACTGTTGTACATTGTTATTATTGTTAAGTTTAGTGCGAAGTGCTACTTAGTAGGATATATACATTTAGTTTATTACATTTATATGAATATTTACATAATTTATTTTTTATTTATTTTAATGGCCTTGTTAGATAGAATAAGCCTTTGTATAATTTTTTGTATATTAATTAGGGAATATTTGTTTGCCAACCCTCCTGATGGCATGTGCCAAGGAGAACAAATGTCACTAAACGTATTGTATTGTATTTTTTTTATATTGAGAAATAAAAGGCATTATTGATTGATTGATTGATTGATTGAATATCAATGCCGGAGATACTCAGATAATTAAACAATATCCAAGACTTCCGTTTTTAAAACGGCATGAAGCTAAATAAATTATTAGGAACAAAGACAAAAAATCGTTTACTGAATTATCCAATAGTCTTCACTATATGGTACTAAAAAAAGATAGTCTATTTGTTTCGAATAGACGATACATTGGATACTTTGTCTGGGACACGTTTGGTTTTCTATACTAGGCCTAAATAGTGGATTTTGACAAGTAGAAATAGTGCGAGCTGATCGAGAGAAAACCGCTTTTTCGATATTATTAGACCTGGTACTTTAAAGTTATGCCTTTTAATCTATGTAATGCTACCGCTAGATTTAAGAGACTAATGAAGGCCGTTTTAAGAGAGCTGACATGGCAAACATGTTTTGTTTATTTGGATGACGTAATATTGTCGTTGAAAGATCTGACGGGTATTCCAAAAATCTAAATAAAGTGCTTTACCGATTACGCGCAGCTAATTTAATACTGAGTTCAAATAAGTGAAACATGTTTCAGCGAGACGTTACACACTGAGACCATTTTGTACCCAATAATAGTGTAATAGCTGAAACTGAGAAAGTTAAAGCAGTTTTAAAATGGCCAGTACTAACAGATAAACATGAAATTAGAAAGTTTCTCGGCTTATTCACATATTACCATCGTTTTATCAAAGAATTTCCGATAAAGGATGCTAGGAACGCCATAGAAGCTGCTTTTTTCTTCTTTAAAAAGTCGTCTTTTACTTCAGCAAAGTCTTATCTAAACCAGAAATAAACTACTACGTTATCAGAATAGAACTTCTAGGTCTAGTGAAGGCTTCCGAAGATTGTACAATTATCTGTATGGCCGAAACATTCGAACTAATTACGCAGCTGTATGCTCTAAATAGCAAGCTGGCTAAGGCGATTGCAGGGATACGATTATGATATCAAGCATAGGACATGAAGAATTTATTTAAATATTACCGCCCTGTCAAGACTTTGCAGCGCGCATTGGGGCCACCGTTAAAAAGTATAGTAACAACTTCGCCACTTGTGACAAATTAGGGTCATAAATGATTCACGAACTTAAAGATAAACAATATCCGCGACCTTGCCGTAACAAACAATATATCCAGATACTTGTTTACATAAATCGTCTTACTTTATATACAAGCTGAAATGATACAGAAATAGTAAGAAACAACAGAACATTACGAATTATATATAATGACCAGATATGGTGTGACCGCTGAAGTACAACCATATCTCTTTACCGTTCCAGATCCTGTCGCCATAGCTTCCTGTCACTCAAGACTTCTACATCACTAAGCAAATCTCTTCAATATCTAACAAAAATTTTCACCGAGTGAACGAGTAGAAAATTGAGCAGCCTGGAGTTGGTAAAGTGCTGTGTTTACAATAAAACCGATGATACGACGGACGTTAACAACTTTGAGAGAAATTGTATGCTACTATACGGTAATAAAATTAGCTTTACCCAAGGTAGGCAATGGGTTAGAAAACCTAGAGTGGAAGGTTGTGAAAAGTATGATTGAAGTGATTTTTCGAAGGACTGGCTTACAAACTACTGTATGCTACTTCAATCCTAAGAGGTCCAACTCTAGGAATAACAGTGGATTATTACTTATTCAATCAACAATTTACTAGAATAGTCAGTTGTATTACCCGTTATAATATGTATGTTTGAAAGTTGAAAGTATGATATGAAGTTTGATATGAAGTAACATTGAAAGAAATGAAAAACAACAAATCGCCTGGAAAAGATGGAATAACTGCGGAGATGCTGAAATATGATGGAAAAGTGGTAATTAATACTCTACATCCCCTTTTTACCAAGATATTAAAAGAAAAAAGAATCCCAAACAACTGAAAGGAATCAGTAACCATTATCCTACACAAGAAAGGGGATAAAGCAGATATAAAAAAAACTACCGTCCCATAACACTCCTCAATGTAATATATAAACTCCTAACAAAAATTTTAACCAATAGATTGACGACAAAGTTCGATGGATACCAGTCGAAAGAACAAGCTGGTTTAAGAAATGGATTCAGCACAAGTGACCATTTACTAAGTATGAAAATAATTATAGAACGAGCAAATGAATAGTACATTCCTCTATATATGGCGTTCATAGATTTCGAAAAGGCTTTCAACAGAGTAGAACATTGGGCAGTGAAAAGTTCTTTGATTAACAGCAGAATTGACCACAGATATACGGAACTAATAGCCAATATATATAAGGAAGCCAAAACAACAATTAAAGTATATGAAGGAACAAAATCAATACAAATAAATATAGGCGTGAGACAGGGCGATACAATATCACCGAAACTTTTCAATCGGGCTCTTGAAGATACTTTTAAAAGATTAGAATGGGAAGAAAAAGGTATAAAAATTTGTGGACAACGCTTGAACCATCCAAGGTACGCTGATGATATCGTATTGATAACTGGTAAAAAAGAAGAATTATTTGAAATGATGAAAGGACTGGATGTAGAAGCTGGAAAGATAAGCCTTAATATGAATTACAGCAAGACCAAAACCATAACAAATCCAGATGAAGACATCACAATGAGAATCGGACAAGATGAAATATAACAAGTTCAGGATTATATATATCTTGGTCAAACTATAAAACTTAACAAAGAGAACCAAACAGCAGAGATAAGCATCTTAAGACCAAAGTATACAATCAATGCGTACTCCCTGTTTTTACTTATGGTTCCCAAACGTGGACATTTACAAAAGCAAACATGGACAAAATCATAAAAACCCAAAGAGCAATGGAAAGACAAATGTTACACATAAAACTAATGGATAAAAAGAGAAACTAGAGGATAAGAGAGAAAACAATAGTGAGTGATGTTAGACAAGAAGTTGCAAAATTGAAATGGAGATTTGCCGGACAATGGATGGAACAACATTCTTATAAGTTGGAGACCGTGGGAATATAAACGAAGCAGAGGAAGGCCCTAAATGAGATGTGCAGATGATATCAAGAAGCACGGTTGGACAAAAGTTGGACCAAAGAATGCTAATTAGATAGATAGATAGATAATATGTAAGCAGATGTAGCAAATTTTTCGCAAAAAAATATTACACAAAGCATCAGTAAGTCCTAATTTGGCAATTACTTGAGAAACAAGACTATATCAACAAAGAAAACATGTTTATAAATATTAGGGATAAAATTTCTGAGACAAACTTATGAGAACACATTTTTATATAATGTAAAAGACTGGGGCAACATACATTGTTAGAACTACTTGTAAAGAACTGCTTTTTTTTATATGCAGTTTAAAATGACCTAGAAGAGATGAACTAATCTTTTATGAATAAAAGAAAACTTTAATTTGACCTTTATGTATTTTTTCAGCAGGTTGCTCCTAAATATATCATTTTAAAAGGAATTAATTTAAATATTATGTTATTATGGAATTAAGCCACAAAATATTGGTGGTGATTGTGATGAAAATCCCATTTTAATTAACTACTATTTGAGTTTTCGATTTCCTCTTTTTCTGTTTTTTTTTAAATTCAAAATTTACAAAAATCATTTGTATAAAAAAAGGTTTTTTTGTACAAATTATGTAAAATTGTATATAACAAAAAAATTATTATTGGTTATGTCATACCAAAATTGACATAATGTGATTTTCATCACAATCACAACCAATATTTGTAGCTTGGTCCCATAAAAAATATAATATTTAACTTAACCATGCCACAAGGAAGTAGCTTCAGAACCTTGCCAAGGAATTAATAATATCTAATACAAATTACATACCTATTATTATATATATTTCCATCATGAAAAATTGATTGTCTGTGGTTTTCGCCCAATTCCATCTTCATCTCCCTCTGACCAATTTTCTGCTTCGATGAATGCAAACATGAAGACGGATTCGTATCCATGACTTCTTGCTTAAGTACCAAATGACTAGTTCGTTCTTTTGGAATCACACGATTTGTATTACAAACGAAATTCGCTACTGACACTGGATTGACTAGATTCTGGTGGTTGTTGCTGTTGTTGCCGGAGTTACTGTTGAGAATTAGTAACCCTCCGCCGCCCTGGATTTGGGAGAGGCTTAGAACTAAGGGCGGTGTATTTCCTGAACTCGACGAACAGTTTGTATTGTTCTGGACCGCCTAAAAATAAAAAGGTAGTTTATCTTTTCTCACAACTTAACTTAATTCATAATAATTTTTAGTAGCAATAAGTAAATATTTATAAATTTTTAACTAAACCCATCAAAATTAAAGTATTATTATAGTTTGGAGTGAGTAATGATAATTTATGGATCTTGGAGGTAATAAATATTGTCGAAGCCTACTCTGAAACAAAACTCCAAGTATTGTCGACTGATTACAATGAGTACATTAAAAGTTCTAGTAATAAAATTCTCTGTCAACAGATCTTAGATTGACGTTACCCAAAGATTAGCACGTAAGCTGATGGTAACTAATTTTATTTAGCGTATGGACTTTCATAGTACGATAAATATACAAATACAATTACAATAATATACACATATATATATTATATATATTATTCAAACACTAAAAATAGTAAAAATAGAATGAATAGAATGAATGACACTAAATATTAATGTCCAATTTACATAGCCATTCAATTGCTTCTGGGGAACATTCCGCAAAGTCCTGGAGGTTTCCACGGTAGGCACGATTCAAGCAGTCTGAAACACAATGGCTTATGGTCTGTCTAGATTCTCCGCAATCGCACTGTGGACTTTCTGCACGACCCCACCTGAACAGCGAATCAGCACATTTACCATGTCCGGTACGTATACGATTAAGCCTTGCCCAAATGGACCGGGGCAGATTTGATCCGATGAAACCCTGAGTTGGGGTAGATATCTTAATATAGTCCGATTCTACTGTTGGCATCCATTTTGTTGTCCATTGCCCATGTATATCATAGGAATTACCAATTTTTCGGGCAGATCGTATTGGAGGATTTCTAGATCTCAATCGTTGGTGCTCTTTTAAGATGTCTGGGATATCTTGATGTATTGGTAATTGTACGTTGGCTACAATTTTCTGGTACTCTCTCACTAATGCTGCTGTAACGGCGTAGATCTGGTGGAGCAATATTGCTCAGAGTATTTAGCCATCTCACTGGCGTTGATTTTATTGTTCCAGTGATTATTGTCATGGTTTGGTTAAGTTGGACATCGATTTTGCTTGTATGTGCACTATTTAGCCATACTGGTGCACAATATTCTGCCACTGAAAAAACCAAAGCTAGAGCAGAGGTCCGAAGAGTATCTGCAGAAGCACTTCAAGTTGTTCCAGCAAGTTTTGATATTAAGTTATTTCGTGTTCTTAGTTTACCGGCTGCGTTTGTAAGATGACTTTTGAAGGTGAGTGTTCTATCAAGTGTGACGCCTAGATATTTGGGGTTGTTGTTATGTTTGATAGCTGTGTCATTTAGAGTTACATTGAGAGTATCGCCCGCAAGTTGATTCGACAGATGAAAGAGACAGGTTTCAGTTTTGCTTGTGTTAGGACGTAAGCGCCAGTTGTAACTAATGAGAAATCCTAAAGGAAGCGTTTGTATTATAATCATCGGCTCACCACCTCTAGGTGAATCTTAGTCACGTTAATATTTTCCTCCACTATTGTCGGTCTGATACAGTTATATTAATTTTTTCTATAATACCATGCCGTTTTATGGAAAATGGGAGTAAACCAATCGGAGGAAGGTGAGTTTCTGGCGCATATAAAATAATCAGAACATGTCGGCTAACAAATGAAAAACTCAGCGTTATCTCACTAGTACCGTTAGGTTTTAATATAAATTTTAAAATGATTAAAAAAGGAACATTAGATAGAGATATACATAGTCGACCAGTGAAAAGGGAAGCGGAAATAAAAAAACTAAATTCATTCATTTGGTCAACAAAGATTACCTACTACTATTTTTTTCAGTAGTTAATGCAGTTAATTTGAATAAACAAAAAATATTGGCTGAGAAACAAAATTAGCAATATACAAATGTATTATATAACCCGTAGAAATTTAAGGCTCGTAATTAGCAAGTAAACAAGAAGATTAAACAGTATAGAGGAAATTCATTAGAAGAGAAGAGATCTGTAATAGCAAAACTTAAACATAAAAAAAGACAGACTACACATGGCAGTAATGGAGAAAACCATTAGACTACACATAAAAGTAACAGAGATTATTAATATATATATATATATATATATATATATATATATATATATATATATATATATATATATATATATATATTAGTATAATGGTAAGGTTAATTGGGTTAGCAGCTGAATTAACCTTACCATTATACTAATTAATAATTGGACAGCTGTGATCATTCTTCCTTTATATATATATATATATATATATATATATATATATATATATATATATATATATATATATAGTGCGGATTGGTCTTTAAGTTTAGAAAAAACTTTGTTAACTGTTAGTACCGTTTTATATGCAATTTTGATATTATTAATTGATGAGAAAATTCTACTTAGTTTATGCCCAATGTCCTTAATGTATGGAAGAGATACATATCTAATTGTGGTTTGTTTTTGTAAAGGATCTACAGGTCCAATCCTATCTTGTGATAAAGACATATTGGATTGGACCTGTAGATCCTTTACAAAAACAAACCACAATTAGATATGTATCTCTTCCATACATTAAGGACATTGGGCATAAACTAAGTAGAATTTTCTCATCAATTAATAATATCAAAATTGCATATAAAACGGTACTAACAGTTAACAAAGTTTTTTCTAAACTTAATGACCAATCCGCACTATTATCCTTAACGGATGTTGTTTATTGTATACCGTGCGGATCATGTGAACAAGTATACTATGGTCAAACATCAAGATCGCATTACATCCCACAAGTCTGATAATAGACTACATCCTGAAAGAAGTGCATTGGGTGAACATGCATTTAAAAATGGGCATCGGATAGACTACAATAATATCAAAGTAGTAGAACAGGAAGGTAACATCACCAAAAGACTTTTTCTGGAAATGGCCTACATTTGCCAAAATAATGCAATGAATCATAGAACAGATATTGGCCATCTAAATGAAATGTTCTTCTATTTGTTACTACTAGATAAATGCAACAATAAGACAAACAATAATCTATCAATTGACATTTAAGTAATTAAATAGTTTTTTTTTTTGAGGAATTTATTTTTTTACAAAGTTAGTTTGTTTAAATTTAATAATTTTTGTATACACACAGATACTGGGGTCATACAAAACAGAATCACAATCAATTGTAACGTTTTTAGAATTATGACATTGTTTATTTATGTTAATTTAATAGGCTTTGTTTTGAAACATTGACAGGTTGAAGTTTCACTTCCTAATGATATTAACAAATATAAAATAATTTATATTTCCACGATATACCTAATGATAGGCCTATAATTTGTTGTACTAGCAGTTGATTGATATTGGGGATATGGGATTTTCACTTTTCGGGATTCGTCAAGACGAATGTTTTTAAATTTGTGCACGAAGACTTCCGATAAAGCCAACAATAAAAACTACTGGATTGTCGTGACAAAAACTAATGACGATACAATAAAATTAGTAATATCAATGTCATAAATTTGTGTATAATAATTAAGTGTGTGTGAATGTAAAGTAATTTTTAAAATTTTAAATATAGGAATAGGTTTTAGACTCAAACGATATGACAGACTGTGATAAATTTTATCAACATTTTATAAAATCATTTATGATACAACCTCGTTAAGTTTGTAAGTATCAAATTGTTAATTATAAAAATTTGAAAAAAAATATTCATCACATTTGTAGCTCTCTGATGGACATAACCAATATCCGAAAGCTTGGATTAAAAATTTAAAAGAGTACACCTTTCATTTTTATTACTGCATACCCAATATTTAAAGTTTTCTTCCTTACGTGGTCAGCAAATACTTCTGGTTATATATATATATATATATATATATATATATATATATATATATATATATATAATATATATATATATATATATATATATAGTACTAACAACATAATGTTAATAGTGGAGAAAATGAATACATACAAAAGGCCAAATAGAACCTAAGAATATAAACCTACAAATCTAGTAAACTCAAGTGATCAAAAGAAACAAGAAAAAAATAATCTAAAAAGCCACGAGAGCAAACAATCTGATTTCATCCAGATTCTCGTCGAGTAAAGAGAGTGGAGACTATTTGGAAATATAGAACGCTCAAGACATATCCAGGGAGTTTACATATATAGAGGTGATACAGAAATGGTATGGGATGGAATAATAATTGGTGACAAAACCCCATTTTTCCAGATCGCTTTATTCGTCCATCTGCTGGTGGTGTTGGTCAAAATGTCCACCTCATACATGATAATGCTCGTCCATGTTTTATACCTTTAATGACAGACTAGCTTGCTAACGAAGGTATTGTCTTGGACAGCACAATACTCAGTTCTCAATCCCATCGAGCATGTATGGGACGTGCTTCAACGAAGAATTACTCTACATTCGGATAACATATACACGCCGTTTCGTTTCTGAGAACGTCTGATAGAATAATGGACAAACGTACCTTAACAGAATATCGACAATCCCATTTTGTCTATAAACGACATATACAGAGCCGTAATAAATCAGGGTGGGAGCCATAGTTTGTATTAATTTTGTTTGTTTTATTACGACCATATTTTGTGATTTTTGTGATTGACCTAATATTTTTTTATTGTACTTTAAGACAATCTCATTATTTTTGACATTTCAACATATTTTGAATACTACTTATCACTTCAAATCGATTATTACGTGCCGAAAGATTTCCGCGGTTAGTACAATTAAACTTAAAGCTAAGACTAGTACTATTACAAGAAGTAATAATAAACTTGATGAGAGATAAGTAGTCTTGCTGGATATTGTATTTAGTTGTCAGAATGTTTAGAGTTTCGTCTAGACGAATGTTTCTAAAGAGTAAAACGATATCAAAACTTACTAGAATGTCTGGCGGTGAGATAGGGCATTGTTTAAGAAGTTCAATAAAATGAAAAGAATTTTTGACAGTTGTATGCACTGACAATGGAACAAAGAAGAATATAGAGTTTATGAATTTTGGGTAGGCCATATATTCGAGGTGTTCTAAAAGACTTTACATGAAGAATTAGAGATTGTTTTATGTTAACAGGAAAAGAGGTTTTATTTGTAATGGCTTTTGTTGTTTTCTATAAATAGGTTGTTGGATTATTAGGAATTGGTTTTGTAGGTAATTGTAATGAGATTTGAGAGTTAATTAATGTAAAAACTTAGACCCTCATCATATGAAAGCTTTTCTTCCTCACATCAAAGGTGTTTCTGATAAAACCGACAAAATTCTTAAATCAATAGTAATAAAGACAATATTTACCTCCCCAAAAAAACTTTCATCTCTTATCCGATCAATCAAAGACAACATTTCAAATGAGCGATATGGAAGTTATGTAATTCCTTGTGCAGACTGAACTCGATCTTATATAGGCCAAACAAATAGTAAAATCCAAAATATGATTTATGAACATTCAACTTCTGTTTGCAAATTTAATTCAATTTCAGCTCTAGGCCAATACCATTTTCATACAGGTCACGAAATTGATTTTGAAAACTCCAAGAACAAAACTATAACCTCCATCGGCTTCTATAAACCAAGAATTATTCGAGAAGCGATATAATTTGAAAAAAGGCCAAATTGTCTCAATAAAAGAGATGGCATTCAGTTACCTTCACTCAAAACAAGTCGCCATCGACGATATAAGTGAACCGTCCTCTGTTTCCAGTAGCAGTAATGCTGCTACTGGAAACTGCCCAGTAGTGTCTGGGGGCTAGGGAGACTAAGAGCCAAGAGGCTCTAAAGAGGACATTAGAGATGATGTTAAAAGTTCAGTGCATTGATAATAGACCCGGTTCAACTTGGAAGACTGCTAAGTTTATTATTAATTCTTGTATTCCAATTCTATATTATTATCAATATCAAAATTGATACTTATACATTCAAACTTAATTAACTTTCTGTCAACTAATTAATAGTATTATTGTAATAGACAGGTTATTCAAAAAGTATTTTTATCCATCAACATGAAGCTATCAATTATCAACATAAAGTGTGAAGTAAGTTGACTACAGCAACTTATGAAAAGATTGTTTTGAATTTTGTGAACTTATAATGGAACAAAATAACAGAGATCCTATGTTTTTAAAAAGGGTCAATCGTAAAACTTATCGGTACTGGGCTATAGAAAAAATAGATAATATGATTATTGGACCATAGTTTTTCGAAGATACTTTAACAGCTCTTTCTGCTCCCCGAATTGAACCGACTGTTTCCAAACAGAAATAATCTATGGCTGCAGCAATATGGAACGCCTCCACACTATGCTGTTTTAGTGTGCTATTAATTGGCAGCCTAGGTCACCTGATTTGACTATTCTTAATTTCTTTTTATGAAGATACTTGCGAAGTAAAGTGTTCTAAAATAGATCAAAATATATCACTGAACACAAAGGATTGAGGCTGTACAAATAACTACGTAATTTATAGAAAAGGTTCGAGAAGAGTTCGCTGCACGTATTTCTCATGATATTTTAGCTAAAAGTAAATAATTTGAGAACTTAATTTAGTTTTTGTTGTATTTAATAAATAATACGTAATAAGTATTTATCGTAATAATAGAATTTTTATTAATTTTTTAAACGAATACAAACGCCAACTTCGCAGATATATGGATATGGCTGAATATGTATTTAAGAGACCTTTCCAATAATGTATTACAACATGCATATTTCCATTTAAAGATTTTAGCAATGATGTCATCACGTGATGATATATGATATCAAATTTAAAAAGGTAGCCCTCCGAATATGGCGTTTAAAAATGAAAATCCACTGGTTTCATGATTTTTCCTTAAAGTTGCCGGTTTACGATACCCTTCGTTTGTACCATACCGTATATATAGTAACTTGGAACCTTATATTAAACTTTTTTATCATTAATGTTACCACAAAAGTTATTCTTTATAAAAAGCTCTGCATGGTCAAAAAAATATGTACAACCATATTTTGCCTACAACATAGGGAATTACTATTAGGGATTGAAAATTGAGGACAGACGTTACTGGGGTTGAAGGGGCAAGCAAAATAAACGAAACTTATGTGAACGGCACTCAGGGTTTATTTGGAGTAGCTGGGTCGTGGATAAGTGAATGGCAAGGGGGTTCGATTGGGGCAACTACAAAAAAATGAAACAAAGGTATCCCTTACATGAATCTCCTGGATAAATAGACAAACAAAACAACAAAAAAAAACCTCTAACTATTTAAAATGGGACGTCGCTTCGAGGTGACAAATTATAACGATTACAACAACTAGTTGTAACTAGTTAAATAATTATTAGAAATGAAAAATATATCTTTTTAAATGATACTCAAAAAGGGGTTAGAGAGTTAGTTAAGAGAAAAAAACAAAATGTTTAAGGAAAAAAATTAAACATTTATTGTTGTGTCACCACAAACAGTTACAAAAATAGACAATACAAAAATATTATTAATAGTCACAAAGATTTATACCAAAGGAACACAGAGAAACACTTACTATGTCCTAGCTGTTTATAAACTCTAGGAGTTGGAGATACCACAAAAATTTATAAATGAAACTGCATGGAGATTAATTTTCTTTAAAAAAAACAAAAAATATCAAATACGATTAGTTATTTATCACATGTCATAAATAATAAAGTTTGCTCTCATATGTTAACATTAAATTGTAAAACAGCACAATTAAAATGACAGCTAAGCCACGCCCTTAGAGATATAATTTTAATTATTATAATTTCTTTATATTACGGAAGCAATTATTAATGAAAAATTATCTATTTTAATTCAAAAGTGCAAACAAAAAAAGTTACCTGAGTTTCACTAAACTACTTTAAATTTTCTGTAACTTCACTGGAATTTCTGGGGGTAAAACAGTGCTTCACTGGACTTTCTGGGGGTAGAAACTGGACTTAAACTCTCTGCGTAACGAACACACGAACAAATTCATCTCCAAATTGCCAAAAAGCCTGGGATGGCAACCAGGGAGAAACGAAACGAGGATGAAAACAACGATTCTTCCAAACCTCACTTAAACTGCAACTACACGTTGAATTGCTACTATACACTACATATTTTCCATGAAAAGGAACGAAAAACATTACGAATTTGAAGTAAAATTCGAAGAGACACTGTAAGCAACTGCTTTTGACAAACGCCTCAGTGAGAGTGATGTAATTCTTAAAAATTATTCGCTTTCCAACTTAGTATAAACAAAACATATAACCGGAATATTCATTTAAAACGCAGAATATTCTAAAAGTGGGTTTCGATTAAAAGAATGTCGAGAAAATACGCATCTATAAAATGTAAGCAAACTTTTAAAACGTGTTTATATTAACTTGGCGACGCAAAAGGGATCGAAATATATATTTCGGGTATTTTAACTTTTACGATAGGAAACTGAAATACACTGAAATTATTCTTCGGTATTTTAATATATATATATATATATATATATATATATATATATATATATATATATATATATATATATATATATATATCATGTGCAGCTTTATCGACCGTTTCCAATTACGGTGCAGCCTCCCTTATTTCAATGTTATTCTATGTTCTTATTAGTATTTGACGATGTCTTAGTTATTCGTTGTTCTTGTAATTTGCGCTCATTTACGTCCATATTTTCTATCTTGTGCTATTCGAGACCACGTTGTTCCTGTTAATTTTCTAATATCATAATCCCATCTGAGATTCAGGCGCCTCTTTGGTCTCTTAGCGTTCCTGGGATACCACATAGTTGTTCTAGTGGTCCATCTGTTGTCTGTTTGTCTTGCTATATGTCCTGCCCATTGCCATTTCAGGGATTTTATTCTTTGGATTACATCAGTCACCTGGGTTTGCCTCCGTATCCATTCAATTCTTTTACGATCCCTCTTTGTTATCCCTAGCATACATCTTTCCATTGCTCTTTGAGTTACTTGGAGTTTCGACGTTATTTCTCTCTTTAATATCCAAGTTTCACGGGTCAATACGGGTAATATGCACAAATACTCTCTTCTTGAGGTGTAGTGGCATTTTGGACTTGAAGACTATGGAGTTTCGTCCGATGTCCGAATATATATATATATATATATATATATATATATATATATATATATATATATATATATATATATATATATATATATACGAGGGGATTTCAATATATACCAAGGAAAATGCAAATGCTACTATATTTTACAACATCAAAAATTGGTGCTATAAAAAGTTGGTTGAAATTGAAAATTATGTTTTAACTAAATAGAAGAACGTCATCTGTTGTGACAACTAATCAGAGGTGGACGTTAGAATTTGTGTTAAATACGCACCTATAATTTTAGTATAATCAGCTTTAACCCAAACAAAATTAGTATGATTGATTAGGTACGTTCAATATCTTTCAAACGAGATATCACGTCCCACTTTAAAATTATCGGTCACAGTGACTCTGTAACGTCATCTATCACTATTACGTCGCCTGTTATGACTAGTTGAGAAGCCTACGTCCATTTATCTCCTCCCTTCAAATTTCACTATTACAAGTATATCCGTTCAAAAGATAAGGGCTGGAAAGGGAACTTTTGGCTTGCATTGTATATACATTTTTGCATATAATTTATATGAATTTGTATTTATTTGAACTGTTAAGAATGATTATTTAGACCATTTACCTTAACATGCTGATTCCTTGTATCTCTAGAGTAGACCCTAGGCGAGTTTCCGTTTCCCAACAGTAACGAGCCGGTGCCGGTAGTGGAAGAAACCTGATTATTATTATCTGAATTGCTGGGTGTTCGCGAGTTCGAGCTGGCACTCGGCAACGGCGAGTTGGCTACCTCCTTGGCGGCTGTGATCCTCCTCATCGGATGAGAACAGCTTTTTCCGTCTGCGCACGTAGAATCTGGACACCCACATTCCAGTTGTTTGACTAGAGCCGCTTGTCTGGCTACCCGCTGCTTTTCCATTAATTGACTCACTATGGCCTCTACCGTTTCGGCAGTCTGTAATTTGAAATTCTATCCAAAGGTTATAGAAAGCAATATTTCAGTAATTATATCGTTTATAGTTAAAGTAAAAATGCTTTTACATATTTTATTAAAAGTGGCAAACAAACAAACATACGAGATAAGATTCTAATGATTTGGGTAACAATATACCGGCGGACAGAGCAGTCCCTAAAATAGGGATCCTACAAAAAATGTAAGAGCGTGCGGGGATAATATTGCACTTTGGTTGCATTGGTAGTGTGTTGGCAAACTAGTAATGGGCATCATGCTGTTAAAAACGTCATTTAGCTAACAAATATATAAAAAAATTTTCAGGTCATCAGGAACATAGTGAAAAGCCCTCAAACATATTAAAAATTGTACTGAATTGACTTTCCTAGAAGGAATACCACGGAGACACGAAAAATTGGGATAAAAGATGAGTCTTTAAATATAGAAAATTGAACGGATAAGAGAAACATCATTATGATTATCCAGCTTTCTGAGCCCAAAGCTAAACATCTTCTTCTTCGGGTTCCTTCTCCTAGCGGAGGTTGGAAATCATCATCGCTATTTTAACTTTGTTGGCCGCATTTCTGAATAATTCTAATGAGCTGCAGCCGAACCACTCTCTCAAATTTCTTAGCCAGGACATTTTGCGTCGTCCTGGGTTTCTCTTCCCTTAGTCTTCCTTAGTCTTCCTTAGTCTCTTCCCTTAGCTAAACATAGTCATTCCCTAACTTCTTTCAGTTCTATGTCTTGAGCTTCCTGCAGCCAATTCACAGCGATTCTTTTGACGTCATCTGTCCATCGTGAAGGTGTTCTACCTCTGCTTCTTCTGTCAGCTCGTGGTTTACCTATTTAATTATTTGGGTCCACCACCTGTCATTACATGGCCCGCCCAGTTCCATTTCAGCCATGCTATGCGCTATATGACTTCTTTGACGCTCGTCCTTATATCGTTTTTAACTCTGTCTCTGAGAGTTAGACCAAGTAGCGAGCATTCCATTCATCTTTGAGCTTTTCTGAGTTTAATTGCTGTAGCCAACCAAATCGCTATGTAGCCATACTTCGGTGCCGTAAGTGATGACTGGAAGCACACATTGGTAGAACGTCTTCTTTTTCAAATAATGTAGCATGTTGCATGTTAAAGATGTCTGATAGAGCTCCATATATTGCCAATGCTAAAGTAATTCTTTCTTGCAGTTCAGCAGTTTGGTTGTCCCTAGCAATTTGGATTTCATTACCTAGGTATTTATATTTATGAACTAATCCTCTTTTATTGCAGTAGATTTTTGAATTTACGCTTGATACCAGGTTTGTCATTTATTGAGTCTTTTCAAAATTTATATTCAAACCAACCTCATTACAGGCGGTATCCAACTCAGAAAGCATAGTTCCAATCTCCATTTGTTATTATTTTTGTAAATAACTTGTAAAGGTGGTTTAACAGGGTTATGGGTCGGTAATTATCGAGATCTGTTAAATCGGTCTATTTGTACAATAAAATGGAAGTGCACTGCCATATTGTAGTTGTTTCACTTTCTTCTTCTTAGGGTGCCTGTCGGTTCCGACCGTTGGCGATCATTCTGGCTATGATGACTTTATTGGTTGCTATACAAAATAGCTGTGTTGAGGTCTTTCTATATCATGCTCTCAGGTTAGCAAGCCAGGATATTCTTCTTCGTCCTGGGGCCCTTTTCCTTCAATTTTACCTTGCAAAATGCATTGAAGTAGCTCGTATCTAACTTGGTTTTTCAATATATATTCCAAGTACTGGGGCTTACGGCCCTTCACGATGTTGACCAAATCCGCATTTGCGTTCATCCTCCGCAACACTTCTTCATTGGTGCACATTCTTCACTTTTCTTGCTGTTTCTTGCTATTTCTATCCTGGCTCTTATATCGGTTGTTGGATCATTATTGTCTGAAAACCAGGTTCCTAGGTATTTGTATTTATCAACCCTTTCTATCGGTACATTTCCCAAATGTATGTTTGTTGGTATATTTATTTTCTTTGTTATTATCATGTATTTGGTCTTTTTTATATTCATTTTTAATCCATATTTTTCACAGAAACTGTTTGTTTTGTTTAGCAGTAATTGGAGTTGTTCAGCAGAGCTTGCCATAATCACAGTGTCATCTGCATATCTTACGTTGTTAATAGACCTTCTGTTAATTATTATTCCTTCACTTTGATATAGTAATGCTGGGACATAATACATCCCTGCCTAACTCCTCTTGTGATTTCAATTTCTGGACAGGGTTCGTTATCTATTACAATTTGTGCTCTTTGATTCCAGTAAAAGTTTGTTATTATTCGTAAGTCCCTATGGTCTATGTTTTTGCCTTTAGAATTTGGAATAACTTTTCATGTCTTACTTTGTCAAATGCTTTTTCAAAAAATATAGTTGATAAATAAGCTTAAAGAGGGAAAGTACAAATTGCTACTACTAGAATCTTTGTTCAAAGATAGTGTTATTAGGTACTACAGTTAAGATGATAACTTGGCAGGTAAAATGATAGGGAACAGAAATAATTTTAAGAATCTAGGATAAGTATTCAAAATCAGTACAACAACTTTAGTAGATGATAATATGATAATGATAATTTAGTATCTAATCCAGAAAATGTAGGAAATATATGGGAAAAATACATCGAAGATCTCTTTAATGACGAGAGAACAGAACCACAAATGAATATAGTACAAGAAACAATACTTGATATATTAACATCCGAAGTTACAAAAACTCAGAGAATGCCGGAAAATAGATGGCAAAAAAAAAAAAAAAATAGAAAAATGGACTCCGGCAACTAGAAGAAAACGAGGTAGACCAATACGATCCTGGAGAGATGATGTCGACGATGCAATGACCGCCAGAGATCTAACAACTGAAGATTGCTTCGACAGAAAACGCTGGAAATTAGGATGCGAGAAGCTGCGCCAGCTGTAGAAGACTCGCTTCTTATATATATATATATATATATATATATATATATATATATATATATCAATATCAAGTTCAAGTATATATCAAGTATATATCAATATCAGTATCAAGTTACAAAAACAATCAATACTTCAAAGCCACGAAAAGCTTCAGATCCAGATGAAATATACGTAGAGATAATAAAACTACTACATCCTTCACCTTACCAATACTATTTAACAAACTATATACCACTGGACTCTTCCCAGAAGACTGGCTTATTCGTATATCAACGAATATACAGAGAATGCGAAAGAAACCTGAGCGACAATCAATTTGGATTTCGGATGGGGCTTGGAACAAAGGAGGCATTATTTGGCCTCCAGACATTATTACAAAAATATCGAGATCAGCGAAAACACGTGTTTCTCTGTTTTATCGACTACAAAAAAGCGTTTGATAAAGTAAAATACACAGAACTCATAGAAACCCTGACACAACATGGTATAGACCATAACACTGTAGCACTTATTAAAAAACTATATTGGGATCAAATGGCGTCGATCGAAATAGACAATCGTCTGACAGCAGAATTGCCAATTAAAAGAGGAGTTCGTCAGGGCTCTGTACTTTCTTCACTGTTATTTAATATATATTCTGAAAAGATCTTTCAAAATGCCCTCGAAAATATTGAAGAAGGAATAAAAATTAACGGAGAATACGTCAACAACTTACGACATACGCAGACGACACCGTCATTATTGCGGACAGTGCTGAGGGTTTACAACGACTTTTGAATTTCATAGCCAGAGAAGGAGATAGCTTGAGACTAAATATAAACACAAATAAAACAAATGTAATGGCTGTTACACGTGCACCAAATGTCGACATTAATATTCGTATCTAGAACAAACATATAGAACCAGTACAAAGATTCCAGTATCTTGGTTGCTGGATAACAAACGATCTTGACCACGAGGTCGAAATACGTGCTTGTATAGAATATGCTAGGTCCGCACTTTAACGAATGAAAAAATTCCTAATAAACTCTACGTTATCGTTGGATATCGGATACCAATTTGTAAAAACGTTTATTTATTCCATATTGCTATACGGAGTCGAAACATGGACTCTCGGAATTACAAGTATGAGGCCTTTGAGATGTGGGTTTTTTGTAGGATACTGAAGATTTCTTGGACAGAGCACGTGACCAACAACAAGGTGCTGAGAAGAATGGGTACTGAAAGAAAACTCTTAAATATTGTAAAAAACAGGAAAACGAGTTATCTGGGACATATTTACAGAGGAGAGAGATACAACTTCCTAAGACTTATAATGGAAGGAAAAGTGGAAGGAAGAAGAGGTCCAGGAAGAAAAAAATGCTCCTGGTTGAAGAATGTAAGAGACTGGACAGGTATGGACACACATTCGATACTAAGAACAGCTCAAGATAGAGAGCAATTTGCTGTAGTTATAGCCAACCTTCAGTAACGGAGAAGGCACCTTAAGAAGAAGAAGAAGAAGGATAAGTATTACAAAGTAATTCTTAGAGATAGCCCCACGCACGTGCTGCAAAGTCAGAGCGGGATAAGAAAGGTGCTTCGTATGACAAGAAATGATAACTAAATGAAGGAGAATATGAGAATATGTATAGAGCGTGTACAATGTTTTAATGGTAATCACCAAACAAGAAGAATTGCTGAATTACAAACTCAAGGAAGGAGTAAGAGAGCAAGACCAAAGAAGATTTGCCAGAGCACTGTAAAAGACATGTCTGTGAAGGGGAGTAATACTGTTATAACACAGAAAGTTATGCAGAAATGTAACGGGATTAATTAAAAAAATAGATAGCAGATAATAGTTCCTTTGTTTTCTAGTGTAGCACTTTCAAATGTAGTTAAGTGTAGGTTACACTGGCTAGTGTCAAACAAAAATTATGGCTGTGGCACTAAACGAAGGAACGTTATAGTGTAGTTAACCTTTGAGTTACGAATAAGTCAGGTTATTTCGGTTATTTTACGACTCGTTTATCTTTATTATTTTTTGTTTTCTTTTACTTTCGATTTTCCTTTCTTAATTTAAACAAACTTTATTCTAATTAGCTAGGTATCTTTAAAAAAAATATATAAAAATGAGTGATGATATAAAATTATCAACTCAATTTAAAAGAAACAACAAAGTAAAAACGTAAATAACATTAAAATTTAGAGGTACTTTAGTTTTTAAAATTATTAAAAGCTTTTAAATGTTTCTAAATTTAAATTAAACTGAAAAGAACAAGATATTTTTTTTTGTTAACAAACACATCTGAAAACTATACAGTTGTCAAACTCGGTTGGATGATACCGCGCAAGACGAGTGTAAATAGTCACCCTCTTAGAAGCAGGTGGAGATTTATTTACAATAGTTTTAATGCCGTATAATACTATGCATTTTCTCGTATCATTTCTTATATCGTTTCTGATATAACAAAAAAATGAATAGTGTCATAAAAGCGTATAGTTTCTTATATCAGAAACGATACAAGAATTTGTGTCCGCTGCATTTTCTTGTACAAGAAATGCGACAATTTGTGCCCAAAGCCGCAAAAACGTAAAACTTCTGTCTTCTGTGATATTGGCGACTGGAGGAGATGAGATATACAATTAGACCAAGCGGACATCAGAGAAAAGTGCCCACCAACAATAACCAAGATTAGAACATCAGTAGCCAAATTAAAAAACAATAAATCACAGGGATTGGATAAAATAACATCGGAACTACTGAAAGTAGGAGATGTTTTACTAAAAACAATACATAACCGCTCTAAAAATTAGTGATGAGTTTAAAGATTATTTTATATCTCCAAATAAGAGAGTAGAATTTCAAGAGCATGCCATTCAAACACATAATTAAAAAAAAAAAACAAATAAATTATTAGAACCAAATTATTTATTATTTCTGTCTTCCATTACAGCCTGTTAAATACCTTCAAAAATTGTGGTTTCCAATTTAGTTTTAATATTGGGACATATTTCTTTCATTTTTGCACCACAGTATTTTAAAAAATAATCAACAGCATTTGTCCTCAGTCCCCAGTAGCTTGGGGTCCGCAGGTACTGCAGTTCTATTTTTATAGGTGTCAAAATTTCGACCAATCATGTGCCAAATCACATACAATTTCTGGTAAAAGAACTTGCATAGTGTCATACAGGGCAAAAATGTACGTGCAAGAAACGATACAAGAAAACATACATAACTTTCCATATCAGAAACGATATAAGAAATGATACAAGAAAATGTATAGTGTCATACGGCCTTTACACTTTTTTTGTTACACTCTTCGGTGGAACAGAGTGGTATAGCAATACACCTTGCAAAGAAACGACGTAGTGTAGCATTTCTATACTTTTTAGAACTAGGGCTTAACCAGAAAACAAAGGAACAGGTCTAGTATGATTGTATACGTTATTTACACTTACCGATATTTCTAATTCGTTGTTGATATCCGGTTCATCTTCACTAAAAAACATTGGCTTTAACTGGGAAACGAGCTCCTCTTTTGTCCACTCTTTTTTATCCGCCCAAAGGGCCAGACTTGGGGTTATGACGGCCAGCTTGTTATCATCTGGGTAAGGTACGTTCAAATAGTGGACTAACACTATGTCGGGGTTCTAAATAAAAAAGACATTCTGTAATTAAACTTAAACATATACTTAAAAACTATATTATGTAGAAAGAATATGCGTGATATAGACTGGAGATACCATATTATTTACGAATTTTTAGATGCTTATATACGAAATATTTGTTTCCGATAAGTAAAATTTAATGCAACTTTCTTATATTTAATATTGTGAATATAATTATGCCATAATTATTATATTGTAATTTTACATTTGACAAAATTCAGAGGGCGATTTCTAGTCCAAAAAGTGCTTTTAAAATATGTAAACATTTTACAAACTTCAAACGATAGTTCATTTCAGATGTCCGTGTAGTAAAGGAATGTGCAATTTCCGTTAAAAAATCAGTATTTAATAGGCTCCATAGTAATAAGAATTTTAAAGAGTCTCCTAGACAATAGTTAATGGGCTTATAACGGTTTTATTTACAAGTGTAAAACATACACGGACGTGCAAATGGGTTTTACAGCATTTTTTATATATGAAGATTTTTTTATTTCTAGCAAATTTTATATATTATGTATATAATTAATTGAATAATGTAATTTGCTTTTTAGATATGATTTGCTAAATATGGTGGTTAGAGGCTGGTAAGGGGTCTTGGAGGCGATATGACGCTGCCGATGCTTTTGTCGTCGTAAAAAAACTCTAAGAAATGCCCACTGTTTTCCAACGAATGAGTTGGAGGTTTTACAAATAAAACTCAGCTCTGCCATCAAATCCTACTCTCACGTCCACGAAGACATATCATGTCGCTTAACCACTGGGTGCATGGCGTACAATGAGAGTGCGTTATGTAGCAGACGAGAGAGGGTAAAAGGTGAGTCTATAGCGACTAAAAACTGGAATATATAGGCTAGAGGAATGAACCCCAACAAAAAATTCGGTCCTCCAAGGATGGGGGTTAAGTCATAAGGCCAGCGACCTTACACTTGTGAAAATCCTACAGTGTTAAAAAACCCAATGAGCCTCGGTTACCGGACGGAAATTACAGTGGACGAAAACAGCAACGAAAATGGACCATAAATTACGGAATCTGGAATATACCGGGAATCAGGAACAAATAACAAGAAATTATGCAGGAATTGGAAAATGGAAATGGAAGAGAAAAATTAAAAGACTATGTACATTTCTTCTCAGGAGTGAGAAAGGATAAAAGAGCAAGAGCAGGGATATCAATATTTGTACACAAGAAATTAGAAAAATATATTAAATCTTGGGAAGCATACAACTAACGTTTTATTAAAGTGACGATTCTCCTAAGAGGAACAAAAATAACAATTCTGGGGTATATGCCGTAAATGGTGACTACTCAGTACAAGAAAAGGAAGCTTTTAAAGAAGACTTTACAAAAATCCTGAACAAACTTTCTAACAGCCATGAGATTATATGCGGAGGAGACCTTAATGCCAGAGTGGGAAAACAATTACAAAGTAAAGTGGTAGGCATGCATGGAGAAGAAACTGTTAACAACAAAGGAGAGAGACTAGATATATGCCAACAATATAAGTTAAAGATTTTGAATGGTTTTTTCGCCCACAAGAACATACATAAATACACCTGGTATCAGCACACAAGAGGTCTAAAATCGATAATAGATTATTTCATAACAAGACAACATACTAACAATACAGGACGTAAAGGTGAATAGAGGAGCAGAGTGCGGCTCGGACCACTGCCTGATAATACGAAAAATATATACACCATTCGTAGACAGGAATCACACAGACATCAACAAAGAACACAGAGAAAAAATAGAAAGAACTACGTACACCTTAGACAATCTAGATAACGAGAGCACACAGTTAATTTACTCCTGGAGACTAACACAAAAACTACAGGAATCACACAGATCAACGACGGATGAATACGAACATAGTCTCCAGGCCCAGGCGGAGTACATCCAGAGTTTATTAGGTACTGATCATCAAAACTGTTTGAAATGATCGAAAAATTATTCGAAAGATGCTTAAACGGAGAAGAAGTTCCACAATTGTATATCTCTCCAATACACAAGAAAGGCACAAAGACGGATCCCAAAAACTATAGAGGAATCGCAGTGATTGCTACTATATGCCGACTATACTCAAAAGTACTACGAAACCTGATAGAAAATGACAAACAACCCTAAGAACAAGCGGGATTTAGGGCCGGACGCTCCACTATGGATAATATTTTCACATTTAAAATTGCAATGGAAAAACGAGTGCAGAGAAATAGAGAAACCCATATAGCTTTAATAAATTTGGGCGAAGCATATGACAGTGTAGATAGAACAGTGTATATAGATAGAAATGACACAGAATAATAAACAACCAGAATTCCCACTCTCAGGTGCCGCCTTTGAAGTTTTTCAGCACGTGCGCCATGTTTTAGGAGGAAACACGTAACACAGATATATGATTTGTGAGGTTATGTAGTTTATATTTATGTTTAATTATATTATATTTATGCTATTATATTTAACAATGTTAATATACTTGTATAGTAAGTCTATGATAGCCGCAAGTCAATTAAACCGGGTTAATTTTTCTATGCACACCACATATACAACACTGGTTCCCTCTAAAACATGGCGGAACGTCTGCGCGAAGGAGATGCGCGTACTTAATTTTCCATGGAGAGTGGGCATTCTGATTGTTTATTATTCTGTGGAAATGGGTAACTTGAAAATAAACCTTTGAAAACAAATTCTTTGCAAAAATTAAAATAGGACAAATAATGATCTCTCCTTTTCAAACAACAAAGGGACTAAGACAAGGCTACTGTCTGTCTTCTTCTTCTTCTTCAGCCTGTGTTCGTCCACTGCTGGACATAGGCCTCTTCCATTTGCTTCCATCGATTTCTACTTTTGGCAATTCTCATCCACTGCTTGCCCGCGACTTGTTTGATATCGTCTGTCCACCTCTTCTGCGGTCTGCCTACTCCTCGCCTGTTCTCTCTTGGTCTCCAGTTTGTTAATCTTTGTGTCCATTTTTCGGGATTATCTCGGGCAACGTGTCCGACCCATTGCCACTTGAGCCTTGCAATACGTTCTGAGACATCAGTAATTTTTGTTCTTTCACGAATGACGTTATTTCGAATCCTGTCTCTCAAACTAATCCCTAGCATGGCCCTCTCCATTGCTCTTTGGGTTGTACTGAGCTGCTCTAAGGTTTTCTTTGTGAAGGCCATGGTCTCCAGTCCATATGTAGTTACAGGCAAGATACATTTGTCATAAACTTTACGTTTTAGACACATTGGTATATCTTTATTCTTCAAAATAAAGCTTAATTTGCCGAAAGCTCCCCAAGACAGTTGTATGCGTCTTTTTATTTCGGCTATTTGATTTTCTTTGCCGATTTTAATGGTATGTCCAAGATATATATAGTGGTCTACATTTTCAAGACTGACGTTGTCAATAACAAGATTAGTTTGTAAATTACTCATTATTTTTGTTTTCTGAAGGTTCATTTTGAGACCTATTTTATTTGACTGCTGGTTTAATTCCTTCAACATTTGCTCCAGTTCCTTGATATCTGTACTAAATAATACTATGTCATCCGCAAACCTCAAATGACTCAAACGTACACCATCAATGTTTACACCTTTTTCCTCCCAGTCAAGCTGTTTGAATACATTTTCCAATGCTAAGGTAAAAAGCTTTGGTGAAATAGTATCACCTTGTCTAATACCTTTATCAAGGCGCATTTTTTCAGTTTTTTCGTCTTCATTGATTTTGATGTGGAATGTGGCCTGTTCATAAATGTTTTTAATGAGTGTAGTGTACCGTGAGTCTATTCGAGCATCCTTCAGGGCTGACAAAAAGGACCAAGTCTCAATACTATCGAAAGCCTTGTGAAAGTCGATAAATGCCATATGTAAAGGTACATTATATTCTGTGGTTTTTTCTACTAGTGTTCTGATGGTTTGTAAGTGATCATTAGCGCCAAACCCTTTTCTAAATCCCGCCTGTTCAACCGGTTGATATAAATCAAGTTTTTGTGTTATGCGGTTGGTTATTATTCTTGTTAACAATTTGTATAAGTGTGACAACAAACTAATAGGTCTGTAGTTTTCAATATTAGTAGTGTCTCCTTTCTTGTGTAAAAGTATTATTTCGGCGTTTTCCCATAGGCTGGGTATTCTTTTTTCTGTTAGACACTTATTCAGTAAGACTTCCACAACTTCTACAACGATGTTGCCGCCCATTTTTAACATTTCAGACGTTATACGATCCTCGCCGGGAGCTTTTTTGTTTTTCATTTGCTGTAAGGCATGTCTAATTTCCGAAGAGGTTATTTTAGGGAGGGTTTCTGAGCCGACGTTTAGAATTGTTCTGTGGTCTGGTTCGGGGTTCTGTATAGTAGATGTATAAAGATTCTTATAGAACGTTTGTATTTCCTTGATTATTTGAGTTTTTTCGGTCACCGTATTCCCCTGTTGATTTTTGATTTTAGTTATATTTGATTTTCCTTTAGTTAAATTTGATTTCAATACTCTCATGTTTCTATTGTTTTCGATGGTTTGCAATATTTGTTTTGTTTTATAAGCCCGCAAGTCTGACCTTATGCTCTTTTTAACTTTATTGTTGATAGCTTTATACTCTGGTAATTCTTTCGATGTTCTTCTTCTTTCTTCCATTAAATTAAGTGTTGTTTGTTTCAGTTTCGTTTTTCTGGGATTTTTATTTTTATCACAGATCTTTTTTGCAGTTGATGTTATGTCGTTCGTTAATTTTTGTGTTATTTCATTTATATCTTTCGTGTTGAATACTGGTAGAGGCCCTAGTTTCTTTTTTAGTTCACTTTGATATTCCTCTTGATTCATTTCGAGTGCTTCTATGTTTGGCAATTTATCCTGTGTTAATAATTTTCTTCTATCTAATTTCGTATTTATTTCTATTCGCGTCCTAACTAATCGATGATCACTACCAGTGTTGAAAGAATTTAGTACAGTAAGATCTTTAGCAATGTTTTTGAAGTTAGAGAGTATAAAGTCAATTTCATTTTTTACTTTGCCATCTGGGCTTAACCACGTCCATTTTCTCTGCATCTTTTTCTTGTAGAAGGTATTTAAGCAGAATAGTTTTTCTTTGCTGAGGA